GAGACTGCCCCCCTCTGCCCCGCAAGTTAATACGTGGGTGGTGCTCCTCCCGAAGAATCAGTGCCTTCTAGATGCCATGAAATCTAAGTCTGTCCTCATGGATCCTGAGGAATTGGGAGCAAGAGAAGCAACCAGCGTGTTATCCAAGTTCCAACTCTGCATCTTCTGAAACACCCCAGCCGTTCCAATCGGACACATTCTTCATTCAGGTCCCAAAGTGCCGCATAGTTTGGTGGTGAGCTGTTAAACAGCTGCCGGGCTCCATCTGACAAGGGGCTGCTTTCCAGCGCTGGGTGAAGCGATTCCCGCATCTGCATACCGACAGCTGGAGATCGATATTGCATGACAGCCATGGCTACCTAGCAACCACACGGCTGTCGCTATGCTGCGCCCATGAGCATCTTGGCACTTCATAAACAGCCCCTGGCATAGAACTCGTTCTCCTGCTCCAACTGTGCAGCGTGTCGTTAGCGCTATAGGGTCTATGAGACATAGTGATGAGCATCTGATTTCACTGCGGGGGAGGGGCAGTAGCACCCACTGCACCCCACTGTGCAGTTATAAATATTAGGATCCTAGCCAGCACCCCTCGGACTCACTGGAGGCAAGACAATTGTAGCAGGAAATAATTTAGTTATTTGAATATGTGCATGGAGAAAATAGCATGTCTGTTATTTACTGCCTGGGTAATGCACAGCAAAGAGGGTAATATATTACAGTTGTGACAACTGTTTAAGTAGTCTGTAATTAACTGCTGTCTATTTAACCAGACAGCTATAGCAAGTTAATTCAATGTCAGTTAAGAGACCTATTAACTGTCTTTTTTTTTAACATTTTACTGGTCCATCATTAACTACCCCTAGATTATCTTGTCAAACTGATAATTAAATACCTCAAAAATTCATTATAGGCTGGGTATATTAATAGGAATGTAATTAAGTAATGTTTGCTTATGTGATTCCCGTCTATTACCTGCTCACTGATTTATCTCTGAGGCATTTATTAAATCTTTGTAGTAGCCTCTTCAGAATCAATACAGGCTGAGAGTCAATAAACACCTTATTAGATCCAAATGAGCTGCTTAATTAGGGGAATGCAAGGAAGGGCTGTTCTGGCTCTCCAGGGAGTTTCAATGAGGGGGATATGATCCGGCAAATCTCAGCAGCTATTTTGCTGCTAGACTCAGCTACAGCACATTTTTATTTTACAAGGCCTGATCTTGCCGAAGAAGGTCTATAGTTTTTTGTCCTTTGCCCGAACTAGTTGCAACAGCACAACGGAGGCTGAATAATTTAATGTTGTAAACTACAACCACTCCCTCTCCCCCTGCTAGCCTGTCCCGACTTACAGTACGTTCTCTTTGAGTACAGAGCGGAATTTTGTGGAGATTTATAGGGAAAATTCGTGAAGGCGTTTGAGTTTTAATTAATCATAGTTCAGTTCATTTAAGAAATGCGGCATCTGTGAGAGAGGTTTTGTTTTTTCCACATTGTCCAGAATGATATTTGTAATGGATAACGCAGAAACGTGAAACTTTGCCCTAGAGTTCAAACTAATGGAAATCTTGTGCATAGTCTGCAATGAGATGGTAATTAAGCTAAATAGTCAGTGCCTGTTGTCTAATTATTAGGAATATGGATAGGCTGCTCCAGGCTCATGAGTTGTTCAGCTTAACGGCCACTCTTAAGTGGAGCCAGTCTGATGTCAGATGTGACACAGCCAATCACCACCCTTCCTTTATAACTAATATGCATTCAAGGAGTCCATTGGCTGTAATGACTCTATGGTGTCAGAGATCCTGGAACCATGTCAAGTGTCCATAGGCAGTGAGTTATATGGGTCCATGGTGCCCTGGCACCAGAAATATTCCTGGCCCAGGGCTGGGCTCCATCAAAACTCCCTGCCTGTGCTCTCTGCTCCTTGTGACCCCCAACCTCCCTGCTTCCCCAAACACACCCCTCGTGCTCCTCCAGCCCTGTCTGCTGCCCCAGGAGGTTTAAAATACCCCAGCGGGGCCCCATGCTAGCAGCGCAGTGGGGTTAGGGTAGCCACCGGCATGTGCATCCCTGTAGCTGGGGGGAAGGGGAGCATGCAGGGCAGCAAGGATGGCTGGAGGAGTGTGTTGGGGAGAGACCCCCACTCCCCCAAGAGCCATTGCCAGAGGGGGCTGCCCCCAGGTAAGTGTGTGGT